GGGGTCATCTGGGCACCTTGTGGTCATCTGGGCACCTTGTGGTCATCTGGGCACCTTGTGGTCACCTTGTGGTCATCTGGGGCACCTCGTGGTCATCTGGGCACCTTGTGGTCATCTGGGCATTTCGTGGTCATCTGGGGCACCTCGTGGTCACCTGGGGCACCTCGTGGTCATCTGGGGCACCTTGTGGTCATCTGGGCACCTCGTGGTCATCTGGGCACCTCGTGGTCACCTGGGGTACCTCGTGGTCATCTGGGGCACCTTGTGGGCATCTGGGCACCTTGTGGTCATCTGGGGCACCTTGTGGTCACCTTGTGGTCATCTGGGGCACCTCGTGGTCATCTGGGCACCTTGTGGTCACCTTGTGGTCATCTGGGGCACCTTGTGGTCATCTGGGCATTTCGTGGTCATCTGGGGCACCTCGTGTTCATCTGGGCACCTTGTGGTCATCTGGGCACCTCATGGTCACCTCGTGGTCATCTGAGTCACCTCATGGTCACCTGGGTCACCTCATGGTCATCTGGGTCCTTTCCTAGTCACTCCATGGTCACCTGGGTCATCTCGTGGTCATCTGGGTCCTTTCCTGGTCAACTCATGGTCATCTGGGTCACCTTGTGGTCACCTGGGCGCTTTGTGGTCATCTCGTGGTCATTTGGGTTCTCACCTGGTCATCTCATGGCCATCTGGTCACCTCATGGTCATCTGGGTTCTCACCTGGTTATCTCATGACCATCTGGTCACCTCATGGTCATTTGGTCATCTGGGTCCTCTCCTGGTCACCTTGTGGTCATCTGGGTCCTTTCCTGGTCATCTGGGTCTTCTCATGGTCACCTGGGTCTCCTCGTGGTCATCTGGGCATCTCGTGGTCGTTTGGGTCCTCATCTGGTCACCTCCTGGTCATCTGAGTCTTCTCCTGGTCATCTGGGTCCTTTCGTGGTCACCTCCTGGTCATCTGGGTCATCTTGTGGTCATCTGGGTCCTTTCCTGGTCAGTCCATGGTCACCTGGGTCACCTCCTGGTCATCTGGGTCATCTCGTGGCCATCTGGGTCACCTTCTGGTCATCTGGGTCCTTTCCTGGTCACCTTCTGGTCACCTGGTCACCTCATGGTCATCTGGGTCTTTTCATGGTCATCTAGGTCATCTCCTGGTCACCTGGGTCATCTCCTGGTCATCTGGGTCACCTTCTGGTCACCTGGGTCCTTTCCTGGTCACTCTATGGTCACCTGGGTCACCTTCTGGTCATCTGGGTCCTTTTGTGGTCATCTCCTGGTCACCTGGGTCATCTCCTGGTCACCTGGGTCACCTCCTGGTCATCTGGGCCCTTTTCTGGTCACTCTGTGGTCACCTGGGTCATCTCCTGGTCACCTGGGTCACCTCCTGGTCATCTGGGTCACCTTGTGGTCTTCTGGGTCCTTTCCTGGTCACTCTATGGTCACCTGGGTCATCTCCTGGTCACTTGGGTCACCTTCTGGTCATCTGGATCACCTTGTGGTCATCTGGGTCCTTTCCTGGTCATCTGGGTCTTTTCCTGGTCATCTGGGTCATCTCATGGTCATCTGGGTCCTCTCCTGGTCAGTCTGTGGTCATCTGGGTCATCTCCTGGTCACCTGGATCACCTTGTGGTCATCTGGGTCATTTTCCAGTCATCTGGGTCCTCTCCTGGTCACTCTGTGGTCACCTGGGTCATCTCCTGGTCATCTGGGTCACCTTCTGGTCATCTGGGTCCTTTCCTGGTCACTCCATGGTCACCTGGGTCATCTCCTGGTCATCTGGTCACCTCATGGTTACTTGGGTCACTTCCATGGTCACCTCCTGGTCATCTGGGTCATCTCCTGGTCACCTGGGTCACCTTCTGGTCATCTGGATCAACTTGTGGTCATCTGGGTCCTTTCCTGGTCACTCTATGGTCACCTGGGTCACCTTGTGGTCACCTGGGTCACCTTCTGGTCATCTGGATCACCTTGTGGTCATCTGGGTCCTTTCCTGGTCACTCTATGGTCACCTGGGTCACCTCCTGGTCATCTGGGTCATCTCCTGGTCACCTGACTCACCTGGTCACCTGGGTCACCTTCTGGTCATCTGGATCACCTTGTGGTCATCTGGGTCCTTTCCTGGTCACTCCATGGTCACCTGGGTCACCTTCTGGTCATCTGGATCACCTTCTGGTCATCTGGGTCCTTTCCTGGTCACCTCCTGGTCACCTGGGTCATCTCCTGGTCATCTGGGTCACCTTCTGGTCATCTGGGTCCTTTTCTGGTCACTCTGTGGTCACCTGGGTCATCTCCTGGTCACCTGGGTCACCTTCTGGTCATCTGGATCACCTTGTGGTCATCTGGGTCCTTTCCGGGTCACCTTCTGGTCACCTGGTCATCTCATGGTCATCTGGGTCACCTTGTGGTCATCTGGGTCCTTTCCTGGTCATCTGGGTCATCTCATGGTCATCTGGGTCCTTTCCTGGTCACCTCCTGGTCATCTGGGTCATCTCCTGGTCACCTGGGTCACCTTCTGGTCATCTGGGTCACCTTGTGGTCATCTGGGTCCTTTCCTGGTCACTCTGTGGTCACCTGGGTCACCTTCTGGTCATCTGGATCACCTTGTGGTCATCTGGGTCCTTTCCTGGTCACTCCGTGTCCCCCGCGTCCCCTCGCGCCCCCCTGACCCCCGACCCCTTTTACGTCCCCTCAAACCCTTGAGCCGGGGGCGTGTCCCTCCCCGCCGGGCGTGCCCGGTGGGCGTGGCCCGACCCCGTTTCCGGTTGTCCCAGTGACGTACCCCGAGGTCCTCCAGTGCGTCAACGTCACCCTGTTCTCGGCGGCCGAGTGCCGGAGCTTCTACCCCGGCTCCATCACGGCCAACATGATCTGCGCCGGCAACATCCGCGGCGGCCAGGACTCCTGCCAGGTGAGGCCACGCCCACCCCCCGGGCGGGGCGGGGCGGGGCGGGGNACCTCCTGGTCATCTGGGTCCTTTCCTGGTCACTCCATGGTCACCTGGGTCACCTTGTGGTCATCTGGGTGACCTCCTGGTCATCTGGGTCCTTTCATGGTCACCTCCTGGTCTTCTGGGTCTTCTCATGGTCACCTGGATCACCTCATGGTCATCTGAGTCCTCATCTGGTCACCTCGTGGTCATCTGAGTCCTTTCCTGGTCACCTCGTGGTCACCTGGGTCACCTCATGGGCATCTGGGTCTTCTTATGGTCACCTGGTCATTTGGGTCCTCACCTGGTCATCTCATGGCCATCTGGTCACCTCATGGTCATCTGGGGCACCTCGTGGTCATCTGGGTCTTTTCATGGTCATCTGAGTCACCTCCTGGTCATCTGGGTCACCTCCTGGTCGTTTGGGTCCTTTCCTGGTCACCTCGTGGTCATCTGGTCACTTCATGGTCACTTGAGTCCTCATCTGGTCACCTCGTGGTCATCTGAGTCCTTTCCTGCTCACCTTGTGGTCACCTGGGTCACCTCGTGGTCACCTGGTCATCTGGGTCCTCACCTGGTCATCTCATGGTCATCTGGGTCACTTCATGGTCATCTGGGCACCTCGTGATCACCTCGTGGTCACCTGGGTCACCTCGTGGTCATTTGGTCATCTGGGTCCTCGCCTGGTCACCTTGTGGTCACCTGGTCACCTCTTGGTCATCTGGGTCCTCTCCTGGTCACCTCCTGGTCATCTGGGTCTTGTCATGGTCACCTGGTTCTTCTCGTGGTCACCTGGGTGACCTCCTGGTCATCTGGGTCCTTTCCTGGTCACCCCCTGGTCATCTGATCACCTTATGGCCACCTGGGTCACTTCATGGTCACCTGGGTCACTTCATGGTCATCTGGGTCAGCTCATGGTCACCTGGGTCACTTCATAGTCACCTCAGGGTCACTTGGGTCACCTTATGGTCATTTGGGTCACTTCATGGTCATCTGGGTCCTTTCCTGGTCACCTCCTGGTCATCTGGTCACCTCTTGGTCATCTGGTCACCTCTTGGTCATCTGGGTCCTTTCCCATCACCTCATGGTCACCTGGGTCATCTCATGGTCATCTGGGTCTTTTCATGGTCATCTGGGTCACCTTGTGGTCATCTGGGTCCTTTCCTGGTCATCTGGGTCCTTTCCTGGTCATCTGGCTCAGCTCCTGGTCATCTGGGTCATCTCATGGTCATCTGGGTCATCTCATGGTCATCTGGGTCACCTCCTGGTCATCTGGGTCCTTTCCTGGTCACCTCCTGGTCATCTGGGTCATCTCGTGGTCACCTGGGTCATGTTCTGGTCATCTGGGTCCTTTCCTGGTCACTCCATGGTCACATGGGTCAGCTCATGGTCATCTGGGTCACCTTCTGGTCATCTGGGTCCTTTTGTGGTCACCTCCTGGTCATCTGGGTCATCTCGTGGTCATCTGGGTCACCTTCTGGTCATCTGGGTCCTTTTGTGGTCACCTCATGGTCATCTGGGTCATCTCGTGGTCATCTGGGTCACCTTCTGGTCATCTGGGTCCTTTCGTGGTCACCTCATGGTCATCTGGGTCATCTCGTGGTCATCTGGGTCACCTTGTGG